GGGGGTGGGGGTTTGGTTGTTATGATGATTTTGTTAAGAGGATTGAGATGGATGATCATGTGGATAGCAATGAACATAAGGAGGGAGCCTGTTAAGATGGAAACTAAGCAAGATGAAATGTTGAGATGGTGGGGTGTGGGGTATTATGGGGTGAGCTAGAGGATGCTGGAGTGAAATTTGTTTGTGGTGTGTGGGGGTGGGGGGTGATTGGTGGGTTGAGGGTGTTAGCTAGCTGGAGTGGAATTATTTTATAATTTTTTTGGGGGGGTGGGGTGGCGATTAAGTCATAAAAGCTGTTTGAAAAACAGCAAAGATGGTGGCTTTGAAAGAGTCGATGACTTGTGGTGTTGGAGGAATGGGAATAAGTTAATGTTCAATGCACTGACTCGACAGTTGGGTAGAACTTGACGTTTCCAAAGTTTAACTACCTTAAAGACTGTCTCTTTTATGGCCGGGATTCCAAAGTCGGATACTGCGGCCGGGATTCTAAGATCTGATATTTGTATGAAAAATATCAGATTGGTGAATTGAAATTGGAGTCAAACATCCAAAAACCCATTAAAAACGTAATGGACCTTTCTGTAGTCCACAGTTTGTCGTAGTTGACAAGAGAGGGGGTGATTCATTTATTCTGTTCTGATAGTTGCAGCACTAAGTTAGAGTCTGGTATACATTACATTTGATATTAAGAAAGATTAAAGTCACAATGTGAGTAAACAAAACCGTAATATATACATATAGAAGTGTTGTTATCTTTTACTTACACAAATTATTTGCGTCTTAAATCTATGTCAGCTTTATCGGAAGTCTGACCCCCACTTACGATTAGACGATATTATAAAATAACAAATATTTCTGCTACTTGTACTCACCGTGAAAAGCTGCCTTTGATGTTCCCCTAACTATGTGTTTAAATTCCCTATCCATATCCGGGTCATGGACTTTGACTAGAATATACTTGAACTTCCCATGTTTGTCAATCTCAACATCAGGTATAGAAATCAACTTGGGATTTTTATAGGATGTTGCTGATGCCATTTGTGAGGATGCCATGGTGAAAAATGTGACAGCTTGCACTGGAATCTGAGGAGAGGCAAAGAGCTCAATGAAAGAATAATTATAATCTTTCAAATGGGTATATCTGCGTGTTAGTATTTCTAGATTTAAAAACTCTTTTAACTTATGCCCAAAGAAAAGCAGGACACAGTGGCGTAGCTGGGTTGGTGTCACCTGGTGCGGTAAACTCATGGTGTTATTCCCCCCTCCCCACACCTTGCATGATGGATTTCTTCTTGTTAAAATAAGTCTGAAGGATAACAATGACAAGAAAACAAAAATTAATTGAAGGTCAGGGTAAATGCATTTAAGATCTTTTAAATCGCCCATTTTGGTATCAATGGAAAGTTTTTTACTCAGAATTTAGATAAATATAGTTTCCTGTCACTTACAAAAGTTACCAGACACTTGAATCGGCATTGAATCATGGTCAAAGCAGTGTTTTTTCTGACTTAATTATAGGTTCACCTCAAATCTGATGCATCAACCTTTAAATATTAATAAAGCACACTTTTGGATTGGTTACGTTTGTGGAAAATTTACGTGTGATCTGTTATCCTTTTATGAAATTTGGGTTGACCGAGCAGTGTGCTCTCTGTAAATATGCAATTTTTCAATTTGGTGTCACCCCTGAGCTGTGCCACTGGCAGGACAATATCCTAAAATGTTATTTTTATATTTAGTAAAGATATGAAAAGATATAAAGGAAAAATGTTAAAATGTATAGTAGACTACAAATCTCCCTTCCGTGTAAATTAAATGTCGAAGGGTTTAATTTTTTCCCCACAGTCAATGGCTGGAATCATTCTTCAGTTCATCTCACAGACATTGACTTGCAAGTCATTTTGGGTCAAATTTTTTATATTGACCATAAATGTATGCAATATACTGATGAGTGGCAAACCTGCCTTGTAAAAATCTATTGAAATTTTTATTTTGATTTTTAAATTTTTAATTACCAACTAAGTGTAGGCCTATATAATAAAATTGAAGTAAAGAAGGTCTATAATAAATTCAGGAATTTTTATTTCCAAACCACTTAAATTGTGATTCAAAAATTAATGACTAAATAGGAGAGACCCTAACTAATTAAAACGTAATTTTCTTCTAATATTTTTTTAAACTGTATTTCTGTATTATTTATAAATTCTAATTAAAAAGTCTGAAGTGCAAGACACTAATATGAATCATTGAGGTCATTAACATTGCGACAATGTAAATAAATAAAGAAGCAAAATGGATAACGAGAAATTCTCTTTCAACTGTATAGGATCCTCTGAAAATTTGAACAATGTCAAAACCTTAATTTATTAAAAACTCAGCCTCAGGATCATAGTTGTATTATATTTTTTCTTCTCTTGAATACAGACTAAATTAGCTAACATTTCTAACACAAATGAATAAGATTATTCAATATATTAATATAGTTAACTGTTGTCAAATTAAAAGTTTTAACTTCAAATCTTTATTTGTGTTTCTCTGCAGATTACTCACTCAGATTTCCGAGATAGACTAGTTTAGAGTACAGAGTGAGAGTAGACAGAGTACCATAAGTATGATGTAGGTTTGAAGGGACTGGTGAGTAGTCACACTCACACTCTTGTCTAAGTTTAACTAGACTTTGTCCTAATCAATCTAAGTAAGTCTAAGATCTCAGAGCACTAATCTAAGCCTAAGTCTTAGTTAGTCTAAGAAGACTTGCACTAAAAGTGACTAAACCTTAAAGCAAGGGTCAGGGAGTAATTTTGGTTATTAAAATATCGTGTTGTTCTGATTTGAAGTGCTATTTGAACAGTCATTTTTTTATTGATAAGATAATATTTGTTTATTTTTATTGATCAAAATAAATGGAAATGTTTAATGATATTGTAAATTAAATAATGTATGTTAATTTTTATGTTCATGATTATGTTCGTTAAATTCAGCACTTACATAAAAGAAAAAAGTTTTAAAATAGAAAAATGTTAATAAATAATTGAATAGAATAGAAAAGAAAACAGAGTTTGAGTTTATATCTACTCCACAAAAACAAGTGCGGAACATGAACTCATACTTTTAAATGACTCATAATATAATCATGAGAAGTGAAAAATGAATAATTATTATAATTATTCATTTAATTTAATATAATATTGAATATGTTATGTATATTATTATTGTTATGTTCATAATTATGAACAAGTACAAACAATAACAATTAACAGAGATTCTACTGTTATTAAAATGATAGATTTATTGAATCATTCATTGAATGATTTCAATTTCAATCAATAATTCAATAATATCATCATTAATTAAATATCAATGATCAAATTCAATACTGAATATTCATTTTCAATTCAAATCATTGATTACAATTTTGACACGAACATAACTAACTGACATAAGTAACATTTCAGACTCCATTTATTATTTGTGTCAACACGATTTTATAATGCCCGACACTCAACTTAAGTGGTAATTTACCGAAATCAGTTGTAAAATTATAAATTTATTTAGTCTTGGCATCGGATTATGGAATAACAAGACTTCAATAGCTCACCTATTCCTGATTTTTGTTTTTTACTTATCAGCGAAATAGTCTTCAAAGGAACTAGCAAAAATTGGTACAAAATAAATAGGTACAAGACTCCAAAACAGCAAAACAGAAATGAATGAATGAAATTTCCCAAATTCCACACCACTTAGACACCTGAAATAAATTCTTGGCTCACAATTCTCCAAAGCACATAAACACAGAAAATCCCAAGAAACTCGCGTTTGCACTTCTTCACGTGAATCAAAATGAGAAAGAACAAACGAGGAGCGATCGACAGCTCTAGTCTAGAGGGGAAACGTTGAACGCAAACGAATCTAATAATAAGAAAAGGTGGTGGGGGAGGGTGTGGAGGTGTAAGGGGAAAAATAAAGGGATGGGGGTTGTTATCCAACTCAGACAGGCTAGGTTTGTTTCTGAGACTACCTGAGTAGAAGCAAAGGTGAGATGATTGAGAGGCAGTGCGTTCGTCTGCTCGTGAGCTAGCTTTTTCGGTATGGGGTGGGAGACTCCTGGGAGAGGAAAAGGGGGACGTGTTTTACAAGATGTTAAGAACGAATGTGGATATGTGATATGGCTCACACCTATAGCCATTGCTCGCTATGATGACATGATGATTTTATTCACAAAAGGAAAAAAAAATATATAACTAAGACAATGGTATGAATAATTTACCAAGTCCAAGTAGAGCAAGTATGAACACCTAATTGGGCCTACTAAAAAATCAAATGAGATGTATAGGCCTGTTAAGGTAAAGCCAGTTTATTCAACCGCACAGAACTAGCTCCGAGTTTCCTCTTGCGCCTGCCCTCACCATAACTTTTGACTTTTACGATTTTAATATTTAAAATTACATCTGACGATTTTAAATCTTGGGATCGGTGAATCATTAAAAAATCACATTTAGAAGCCTACAACTATAAAAAAAAGTCTTTATTACTATATTTCCCAAACTGGAGCTTTCTATTATTACTATCATCTTGTCCTGGGCTTGAATCCTTTATTTTGAAAGAATTTAAATTTAAGTAATCTACAATTATTTGGAATGTGTGTTGTTGTTTTCTTTGTTTGTTTGTTGTTTTTGTTTTGTTTTTATTTGTTGTTGGTTTTTTTTTTGGGGGGGGGGTTGTAGTTGCTTTTTGGTTTGTGATTTTTTCAATTATTCATCATTTTGAGATTCTTAACTAAAACAATTTAATAAATAACTCTTTGATATTGATTCATTTGTGTTTTGTTTCGAGTTATTAGGCTAAATATTTTTATTTTGAAGAAGGAAAAAAAATCATAACACTTTTGAATAAATCCTGACCGGAAACGGAAAGTACAAGGGATGTAATTTGTTTACATTAGAGACCAGTCAATGAACCTCGAAAAAAAAGAGTTTTGTTTTTTTATAATTTTTTTTTTTAATGTTTTAACTTCACTCAAACATGTGATATGAAATCGTGCAGGTAAGTAAATTTATTTAGTAAATAGCTAGTAAATAATTGCTTTCAGCACTGAGAAAACTGTGCCAACTTAGCAATTTTGTGTGAATCATGAATTAAATTAATAAATTATAATAAATCATCGGAATCTTATCGAAATCGTGCCCAACCAATTCCATTCCGGTCCGTCGGCCAGTCAACCGTGAAACATGTTCATGGGCCAGTGACTGAGTGCATGTTCATATTGTAGCGAATATCAGATTGTGAGTGATTGTCTGAAACACATTGTCACTGCCTACTAATTCTAATGATGAGTTTGTGTTTTAAGTTTTAGCGATTATAATTATAATTAGATCAATTTGAAATGCATTTGTGTGTGCTTTACTGTAGACACATATTATCATTCATGTGTCTACAGTAAAGCACACACAAATGCATTTCAAATTGATGAAAAGTATGAAATCATTATTATCATTCAATGATTTCATACTTTTCTATGAAATAAATAATAAATATAAAATGTCATAATTATGAGTTTGTCCTAGTCCTGTCCTTACTTAGGCTTACACTTATACTTATTACACGAAGTAAGTAAGGAAGTTTCTAAATTGACTCCATTCTGAAAAATCAAATAATGATTAGCTGTGACTTGATTAGTAAAAAGTGTGACTGTGTGGCCTTAGCAATAAAATAAAATAACAACAAGCAGTGACTGTCAATTTGCTACAATTGAGTTTTAGAAAGTTAGTATAAAATTAATGAAGGCCTAAATCAGGTTTGCAAAGAAACAGAGTTATATTATGATTAGGCAATCTCAAATCATCCGCAGGCCGCAGGAGATAGAGTCTGAGTTAGACTGGACTGCATAAAGTATTCCACTAAAAATGTGATTACACATTCAATAAATTACAACTGCTACAGTCTGCTAAATCTTGATTAATAGCCAAAAAATGAAAACATGAAGCGTTCTCAAGAACTAGGCTTCCCTTTCTTCCACCTTCTCCTTGTTGCCAGAGATCTGGCAGCACTTCTTCTTGCACTGCTGAGCAACACTTAGCGTGAGTTAGGAAGCAACTGAGGCCCTCAGTATTGCTTGTAGACACTCATCAGTAAGTTTGGCCCAGAAATTTGACTTGTTAAAGTTCATAGTGGAAAAGAGCTTTTCACACAGATAGGTATTCCCAAAAAACGCACGATCCGCTTGAACAATCTGGAAATTTCAAGGAATGTGGAGGGCAATGCTCTTATAAATTTTCCAAGCATGTTTGTTTTTCCATTGTCTGTTCACCCCACTGAACTTAGCCTTAAACTTACAGTTTATACTCATAATATACATTTAATCAACAATTTTAAAATATTCAATAATTTAAACTGAATTATTTAAACTCTAAGAAACCATTAGTTTTTTTTATTGTTGGTGTTTACTGTACAAAAAATAAATGAAGGTATAATGCAAGTCATTGACTACATTGGCTACTGTTCCAATGATTATTTTAATCCATTTTAATTTTTTTTAGATACAAATAATCTACATTAAATTTTTTTATTTATTTCACAGAGAATTCAGCTTATTTGACCTCAAAGACTAAGAGTAAGAGTTCTGATAGGAATGGAATAATAACATAGGAACAAATGCTTATTTGATTCAGTAAAATTAGGTTTGTAGATAAATATTCCTAAGTTAATTTGTAGCTTAAATTATAAGTATTATATGCAATAAAATATTCCTAGGTTAAGTTATATTATTTTTTATTAACATTCGTAAAATGTTGTAAAACTAGCAAAGTTTTGGAGGATACATTCCACCCACTTCATCACAGGCACTTAAAACAAGCTTGATAAGGGCAAACTCTTTCCCTGCCTAAACCTAGGCTCAAAAGATACAAATATCATTTTGTTCCCCAGTCTCTAAGAAAGTACCAGTGTGCTCCCCCAGCAGCAATGCTTACAAAGCCTAAATGATCACCAATTAATAAGTTATTATTGTCTCTAAGGGGTTAAATTGTGTAGTGTAAGATGGTTGGTTTATACGATAGAGAAATGCTTTAGATGTCTTGTGTGTAAGTTGTTCTAATTGTAAAATGTTTTTGTGGTTATAATATTTACTTATTTATGTGCTGAAATTAAATAAGTACAATAGATCAAAAAGCATTTACATTTATTTGGAGCAATAAAAGAATATCTTATCTTAAATCATGTTTATAAATTTAAATGCCTAACAAAAAATTGATATTACTGATATATATAATTAGGCTAATATATTTATTAAAATATTTTGATAACTCTAGTTATCCAAAATGATGGCACGGTAGTGAATAATGATGGGAAAATTATTCAGTAAACGCAACAAAAGTGCTGGGTAAGCCATTAATTTAAATTTGGCGGATAATCTAAATACAGGTACCAAATCAGAATTGCAAACTTGAAATGCACTTTGTGCTCTTATGATTTAAAGAACTATTTTTATCAGATAAATTAATTTTGATAGAAAAGAATTAAATAGAATTAAATTACTGAATACATCCTTTTAAATGTGTAGTGATGAACATTAGTAATTAATCAGAATAAATGAACAGAACAATAATAAGATGTCATTTTACAGTTTTGTTATTTTATAACTACAGTACATAAATGAAGTTGAGTTACATCGGTTTTCATAATTAGGTCAACCAGACCAGCATTTGCAGAAGCTGGATCTGCCATTTCATCAGCGGGCCATTATGGGGATGCAAACACAAAAGTAATAGACAGCTCTTCATCAAATGTGAAACTTCAACATAGTGATGCAGTTGTCAGTTTAGCCTTATTTCAACCAGGATTGTGTCTGTCTGGTAGTAAAGACATGGTATTTCTTAAATCTATTTTTTAGCTTGCTTTTTACGTGTTAAATTTTATTTTGCTTTAAAAATTATGAATATTATAAATGGCCATCATGTCATGATATTTTAACTGATTTTTTTTTACCCCCCAACCGAATCATCATAAATGTATTACAAATATAGGCAACTTCATATAATTTGTCAGAAATTGGTGACTTTTCCAGGATGTGTGACATTGTTTATGGATGGCCCCTAAGCTTCAGCAAAATAACAAACTGATAAATATTAATTATTTTATGAAAAAAAGCCAGGAATTCCTAAAATAAAAAGCATATCTGAAAATATCATCTGTAGATTCTTTTTATTCTATGATCTCTTTCATTAATGGTACAGGTTTTGCTAGATAAATTAACTCTATTTATAAATTAAATGGATCATTTGTTAACCCCACATAGACTCAAATATATAAAACAGTATTTCCTCTTAAATAATAACAGGGCTAATGAAACTATTATAGATAAAAATTTTTGTTGCTGTGATTAAATGGAATGAAATTTACAGGCACCCAGGTTTTATACACCAGTCTATAGTGTATAAGATTTGATCATAGTTTCAGAATCTGGTAGTTTACATGGGTCTCTGGCTATTGTAAACTTTTGAACCAAAAAAATGTAAAAATGAGAGATGCTTTTCTCTCAACATTCAAACCATTTAATTAATCCTTTCAGTGAATTATCTTCAATTAACAAAAATATGTATGCCAAAAATTTAAATATACATTTTTTGACAGATCTAGAGCCAACTAAAGATCTTTTATATAGAAACAATAATAATGGACACAATTAATTCCTTGTCAATGCAATTTTGTTTTCTTTATCCTCTCTGTCAGAATTTTAAAAGAGCAATTTTTTTCAGTGTGTCATACTTTATGATTACAAGGATAAAAGACAAGCAGATAAATGGACTGGCCATTCCAATGCAGTAACAAAGGTTAACCATTTATTTATAGAATATTTTAAAAATCTTTAATTGGTACCCGTACTTATATTTTATATGCTTGTAAAGATGTCTGAACCTTTTATCTGCTAAGCAATCTTTTAAACAAAAAAAATATAAACCACTGACAAGTTATAAAATAAGTAACAATCCAAACTGACACTGTATTTTTTTTTAAAGGGAAGAAGTATAATGAGGTTAATCTGTTATGCAATTAATTTAATTTATTAAGCATTTGGACAAGATACATTTCCAAATTTTTATGAATATATATTATAATACTTTGATAAATAAATTTAAGTAGTTTTGAAATCAATCTGTAAGCTGTTACCAGTGCCCTCTCAATTGAATTTCAATGAGTCTCTGAGAATCATTTGTTAAGTTTTGGCTGAGATTGTTAATTATACTTTTAATTGTTTGTAACTGGTGCTGTAAAAAGGAATGGGGGTGGGGGGGGGTGGGGGGTTGGGGGGGTGGTTTGTTTGTGAACAGCATTACACGTTTTTTGTTTGTTTTTTTGTTTGTTTTGAGGCACAAAGAAACTGATCTGATTGTTTTTCTTAGGTTCTTTATGGGAAGGTTTTAGATAAAATTTTCAGCTCCTCAAGAGATAAGACAATAAAAGTATGGGAGAGGGGAAATTCCACTTTTAAGAGTGAGTTTGTTGGCCACACTCTGGTGGTCACAGCAATCGATTTAAATGCTGGTGAGTAGAGAGGAGTTGATATTTATAAAGCTTATATGCCTTTATATCACTGCTTCAACTCTCTCATGAGAGATATACTACTATTATAGTAAAATTCATTTTTTTTCATTATTATTCAAGGGCTTTCTGATATTCTCTGTAAATTTTTTTTTTTTTCACTTAATCTAAAAACGATTTTAGCCACAAAGTCTAATAAAAATTTTCTATTCTTCTTAAACAACTCATTATTATTTCCCATAAAATTAAAAATTTGACAAACACTTTTATAAAGCTTTAGCAACCATACATTTAAAGTAAGTAAACATGTAAATATAAATATTTTAATGTTAAAAATTGTACATAAATTGTTATTAAAAGTGTTAAATTCATCATTTTAAAAAGTAATTGTCGTTTTAGCAGTTTCCATTTAGCTGGAGAATATGAAATCTAAATTGCAAACATTTTTTCTGTTTTTGGGCAGATAACTCTCTGCTTTGTAGCGGCTCTAGGGACAATTCAGTCAAACTATGGGATGTTAGGACCGGGACTTGCCTGAAGACAAACTCTATACCTCAGAATTTGGTTAGTGTTAGAATAAAAAAAGGTCAACTTTGTTTTAGAACATTTACCATTTTGCTTTGTTTTAAAGCATTTTGGTACCATTAATCCTTAGTCTGTCTTATATTAGCCCTTACCTTTGCTGAACAGTTATATATATTATTATAAATTAATATAAAAAGAAATATATTTAAATTGTAACTTTTCATGCTTAGTAAATTAAAAATGTTCTTAAACCATTTGAATTTCAGATTAAAACATGGAACATCTTTAATATTATATTATTATATACCGGTACCATTGTAATCTGTATCTGAAAATTGAATTAAAGATCTAGAATTATATTAGAACTGGGTACTGGTGTCTATGTAATATTTTTTGGTGGGCCCCCTGTGAGGGCAAAGTATAAAACATGTCATGTTAAACTAACCCAGTCCCTACTCTCCCTTGAGTTGGTGTCTTCTGTAACAGTAGTCTATATCATTATCCTTTGTCTTTCAATGCTCCCCCTATGGTTGACCCAGAAGTTGGATCCTCACGGATGTGTACCATTGTCCAGCTTTGATGGGGATCATACCAAATACTGTGGCAGCAAGGTCTGTTAGAGTCTGTCCCCAGGATCATGAAAGTCCTTGCACAGACACAGCTGACCCAGGACGTAACAGTTATCTGTCTAGTACTAAAATGGCCTAAACCAGGGGTCGGCATCCTTTTGAGTGACAATTTACAAAATTTCCCAGTTTTTAAAGAGCCATTAACATTTTTATTTCAATATAATTATCAATATGTGTGCATGGAACTGGAGAGCCGCATCTTGACATCAAAAGAGCTGCAGGTTGCCGACCCCTGGCCTAAACCAACAATGAAAAATGGAGCGTCAGGAGACAGTAGGTGGCAGGGAATGGATAAATTGTATTTCCTGCCTGTATGATATGACTGAGGGATGACTCAGTCACAGAAGACTTCTACCTGGCTAACGCAGACTCCCAGTGTCAGGTTGCCATGTGATATCCAGCTTCTGGATCTGGACGGGGAAGGAAAGCCACACACAAAACCAGTAACAACCATAGTGATAAAGACACACAAAAAGACATCAGAGCTCAGGTGTTGCCTTGTCCATCAAGGCCAACATTACAAAAGCAGCATTACACCACCCATCTGCAATATTCACAGTTCATCCCAGAAAAACAAAGCAATGTCTTTATCTTCCCTGAATGCAAATCATTACTTCATGTGACTGAGCATCAAGATCACACAGCAACATTAACAAAATAAAATGAGTAAAACAAAGTAGGGTTAAACCTGAAAAAATAAACGCAACAAAACAGCGAATGTGTCGGCAGAAAGCCTTCGTCAGCGAACAAAACAACAGAAAAAACGGTATACAAATAAAAATAAGAAATAGCACTTAGCTGGTAAGTAGTATCTGTGGGCACTTCTATTCGTACTAACCTGATTGCAGTCTCTCCCCTATTACCCCTAGCAACATTAACATCACTGCTTCTTAAAATAAAACACTTTCCACAAGAACTATGAAACCCTTACAATGGATACCAGGATACCACATTACCCGTTTACCAGGAAATGAAATAGCAGACAAAGGATGACATCATGCAATATTTTAAAGAATGAGTTTAAAGAATGAGAATTGGTAAATTGGGTAAATGCCTTAAAATTTTTAACAGTTTGAGAAAGGGGTTTTGTCTCTTTTGAAATAATTTTTTTTTTTCTTCTCTTTTAGGTGACAGATTTAAAATTTGTGCCAAGCTCATCAATGATTGTACAAACCGGCGAAGATAAAGAAATAAGGTAAGCAGCCCATGATTTAGTGTATCACACTGTGGGTAACGGCGATTAGACGATACCTTTATTTACTGTCGCCGCAATTTGTCACCTTATGTCAATTTTATTTCAGAGTTTTTGACCTTCGCACACTCCAGCCTGTGTTCAGTTTCCCTAAAAAGCAATACATCCAGATGTGCTGTGATGTCAGTCTTGATGGGAACTATATTATATCTTCCAGTAATGGTTTCTCGGGCAATGGGTGTGAGGCAACAGTATGTAGTTGTTGTTTTTTTTGTTTTTTTTTCATCTTTTATGAATGTTGAAAAACTGGCCAAATTGAAATAAAAATTTAGCATTAATACTGAATAGTTTCCATATTCTGATTTAATTTATTTTAAATCTAAACCAGGACACATTTAACTTAAGACATTTTTTAAGAATTAGGTATACCCGGTACCCTGCATTATATAAAATAATGACCTTCAGAAGTCACTAATTTCATTGCTTTAATATTTCCTTTAAAATTATTAACAAGCTGTGGGACTTAAGGACACGAAAGCTGCAGAAGGAATTCTATGGCCATCATGAAGCTGTTGAGGCATGCACATTTCTACCTGACGGAAACCGCTTGCTTGTGGCCACAGCCGGACGGGACTGCAGTGTCAAAATTTGGGATGCACAGACAGCAGGTGGGCAGGATGCAATGTTACATAATATTCAACATTCTGGACCATTTTTCCCCTAAGAGGCAGCTACCAATCCCATCTTAAACTGTGAAATAGATTTTTAAATTCATTTACATTTAGTCAGGACTGATGCTGTCCAATCAGGCATTTATTAGCCCGCTTTTATATCTCTCATTTCTCCTACTCTTGTTAGAAAATATATCTCTCAGTTCCCCTACTCTTGTTAGAAAATATATCTCTCAGTTTCCCTACTCTTGTTAGAAAATATTTCTCTCAGTTCCCCTACTCTTGTTAGAAAATATATCTCTCAGTTTCCCTACTCTTGTTAGAAAATATTTCTCTCAGTTCCCCTACTCTTGTTAGAAAATATATCTCTCAGTTTCCCTACTCTTGTTAGAAAATATATCTCTCAGTTTCCCTACTCTTGTTAGAAAATATATCTCTCAGTTTCCCTACTCTTGTTAGAAAATATATCTCTCAGTTCCCCTACTCTTGTTAGAAAATATATCTCTGTTTCCCTACTCTTGTTAGAAAATAAAAAGTCTTTTGCAGCCCACCTGGTTATTCTTGATGGGTCAGAAAAAAAAATGTTTGAGTTAATGGGGCATCATCCAGTTTGTTTAGAGCAGGGGTGGGAAAACTTTTTGTGGGGAGGGCCTTGTTGACAAATTTAAAGCTATGGGGGGAGGTGGGGGGGGGGCGCGTGTATATTAAGTCCAATTTTTACATGTCTATAAACATTTCTCTATATTAAAATCGGTAAATTTGCATTTTAGCTTTAAATGACAAAAGTCAAGAACTGTTTGAAAAAATAGAAAATTAGAAAGAAAGTTGATCAAAAATGTATAAACAATCATAACGGTACATGACGTTCAGTTTCACCAAAATAGCTTAAAAACAAAGTAATTTTTTATTTATAAATGCCTTAGAGGGCCACATAATATCAATTGCTGGCCTGGTTTAGAGGAAAATCAGGTCCCTAGACTTTTTAAGTTAAGAACCACTGAAATGGTTATTCTTAAATGTTTGATTTTAGTCGAGATCTGTAATGAAAGTCTGGAAAGTTTTTAATATACTGGCACTTAGAAATGTCTTATAGTTATAGTTAACTATTTTGTCAAGTTGTAAAGAGGAAGGAAGATATATTAATGAAATGCATTTGTTTTCAAGTAAGACAAGCATCACTGAGAATCTCTATTGGTTGACAAATTAATACCGGCACCACCATTTAAGCTATATATCAGTACGGTATCACTATTGGTAGGTTAATAATAATATGGACTGCATTCTAGAAAAGATATTGTAAGTAAGAAAATGTATTGTCATTGTAATTGAAATGCAACTTAATTGATTAATGTGACATTAATTTACCGGCATTAATTTTTATTAAATGAATTAAGCTATTCAATGTTAATGGACTGGACAGGTAGGAAGTAAATCATTTGTGAGTTAAAAAAAATATTGCAGTGCTACCGGTAAGCAAATTACAAAGCAATAATAAAAAGTATTTTCAAAATACAGAAATTTTTGAAAAAAATCTTTTCACATACACATATTGACTGATTAATTAACATTAGGTTTTGTGAAATATGAATATTCTTTCCTTTGCAAACAGGGTGCAAACAGGGTGTCAGGGTAGATAACCATGTTTTTAAATTTTTTTGATGTGCTGCTGACTAATACTAATTGTAATGCCAATGCACTTTTGTCCCCTAGCATGTATGGCTGAATGTTTCCTGAGTGGAAGTGGACCGTTGTCATCAATAGTAACTTACAGAGATGGAAGGTGAGTCAGCAACTGTTCATTGAAGCACCCATGTGAGATTGATTGTATTCATTAAACAAATTTGAGATTAAAATGTCCAAAGGAATTTTTTTTTGAAGTTATAAAATTAAAACAGCCAAGTAATTCAGCTTGTAGATCCTCCTCATACAATGGTAGGGTTCAAATAATTTAATGCTGCCCTAATGACCATTTTAAGCATTAAAAAAACAACATGCTCAAAGTTGGTTTATTATTTCATGCCATTACATAAGACTTACATAAGAAAAATAAAAGAGGTACGCAAAACTAGCAATTATAAGAAGGATTAAAAAAGTACAGGGCATTTTAACAACCGGTTTGCCAAACTCAAAACAACTAGGTGTCTGTTCTGCTGAAGTATGGAAACCAGCTGAATTCCATCACTGGCCCAATTTTTATTATTTTTATTAAAGGTAAGGCAGCTAATAAAATTCACTAGAAACACTCTACTGAAGTTATATTCATTAATTTGTATATTTCAATTCTCAACAGTGTGTTGGCCGGATCATTTAACCAAGGTGTTCATCTACTCAGCCACCAGGACAACATGCTAGTTAAAACTTGTAACTTTTGATGCCGGATGTAAAAGACATTTGTACGAGAAAAATGGTCACAATAACTTTGGCCTGATGAAGATGTACAACAATCATTGTTAGAGAGAAATAATAATCTCCATATGGTATTTTTGTGACCCCGTTAGATTTCTTGTGGGAATTTGATGTAAAACATTTATAATATGATAGTCTTTAATTTAAAAGGAATAATTTACCATATGGAAGCCCTGCTAAATTTCTTTTACCTAAATGGTTTATTTTTAAGTTCTTATTTTAAATCAAATCATATTAGTGCAGTTTGTTTAAACACTTAAATTAAAAAGAAAAGCATGAAATATATTGACTCCAGGAATTTTTGTTTATGATTATCTTGTAAAAAAAAAATCACCAACCTGCCTTAAAATATATTAAACTAAGAATAAACATTCCACATAAAATATTGATCACTTTTATTATAAAATTAAAATTGTTCTTAATCAAGATGTGCATTTACAGCAGTTCCTAGTAAAACATCAAAAATACATATTCTTGACACTGAACCAGTATTTTATGAAAACCGTGCCGACTTGCCTAGGTTCTTGTGTTTAATTTAAGTTCAAGCATTGTCTTACATAATTGCATGTTTTTATTGCGTATCAAATAGAGTGTATTTATTTATTTGAAATGTTGATTTAGTTACTGTAACTATCAAACTGTGAGCAGTGAATCATTTTAATTGTTAAGTCAATTTATCTTAGTCAAACCAGCATTTTCTTGTTTCAAATGTTGGTGAAAATGACCAATGCATCATGAAAACCTTAACTGAGGAATTTTATCAATGCTTGTGTTATTCCCCAGTCGAGTATTTAACTAGTAGCTCAGTATCTTATATCCTAAAAACTTAAACCAAAAGGCTTTTGTACCGGTATTAAAAATGAGTCTTTAAACCTTAAGGAATGCAGTTGCTAATTAGCTTTCTTGAGGTTAGATTTTAGAATAATGACTGTGTTAATGAATTTTATATTGGGTACTGCAGGAGACAATGTGCACTATTGACAAGTATTTAATGACTTATGAATTACTGGCATCAGAATGTCTGACAATCTTATAATCAATAAAATCTACCAATAGCAGTATGACTATACTTTTAAAATGTTTTAACACCAATTTCACTTGATTGATATATTTATATCGCGCTGGTATCCATGCTACTTTAGCATGCTCACTGTGCTCTGGTCGTCCGAAATCTATTTAAACAAAAAAGTTTTAAATTTTTTCTTAAATGATTTTTATCATTTACAATTCCCTTCAAAGATGGAGGCAAACTGTTCAATAATTTTGGCGCTATCTCTTCAAAAGAGTGCACTCTGTAAGACTTTTTTCTGTGTTCATCCACACTAGGAACACTCAGTAAGTATTCTGATGAAGACCGCAGGCTCTTTAAGGGTACATGTTGACTTAAGACAAGTTGGACATGACTCTTAAATGCAAGCCTTGCCTCACTTTCTCTATCTTCCAACCATGTCTCAGACGATCTCTCCATCCATCCCTGTGGTGCAACAGCCCATGTAGGGCTTTGTTCCTGCCTCATCACATCCTTCCACTCAGATCTGATGCTTTTCTTAACCATGCTTGGATTCCAAGCTGCTGTAGATCCCTATCCACATCATCCATACATGTAAGCCCAAGTCTGCCTTTGAGCCGTTTTCCTCGTGTTTTGGTGATGCGCCTTCTTCACTTCGGTCATTTGACATTCTTTCTAAATGTCCTGCCCACCATAGGAGTCCTTTTTTAAAATTTCTGCTACTACCATGGGATCCGGATTTAGACTATACTATTCCTGGTCCGTTCATACTCTCCATTCATATTTATCATTTGTTGGTCCGTATATTTTCCGGAAAACTTTTCTCTCATGCTTTTAATAGGTTTTCTGCCATTTTTGTCCAAGTTCACTTGCATACTAGTCTATTAGAAATCACTTGTGTTTCACAACAGAGAGATTTAAAACATTTATATTTACTGTGTTGTTGTTACATTGTCATAAAAATACATATTTACTTTCTGTGTATAAACCGTCCTGGACATATACTTACATTTTTGAAGTTTAACTTTAACAAACCGTCCTGAAAACATGTAATATTTACTTTAAAAGTTAGACCATTTTTAAAACATGTAATATTGACTATGTGTAGTGAAACCACCTTACTCCTGTATCATTTTAACACATTCCAGTTTATTTTGTCACTATACAGGTTTGCTACTCAGGTTTACAGACTAGGGTTTGCATGTATTAGTTAAGACTAGGGTTTGCATGTATTAGTTAAGACTAGGGTTGGCTGTGATTATTATAATCCACCTGGCAACATGCTAAATTTTGAACAAAAAAAAAAAAAAAAAGGAGAAAAAAGGTTTGGTACTCAGGTTTATAGAATAGGGTTTGCATGTATTAGTTAAGACTAGGGTTTTCATTTATTAGTTAAGACTAGGGTTGGTTTTGATTATTATAATCCACCTGGCAACATGCTAAATTTTGAACAAAAAAAAAAAAAAAAAGGTGAACAAGGTTGGCTTAAATTATGACATTCCTATTTCATTGCCTGGTACTACACCTCATTGGTTGCAGCCTGATGGGGTATGTTGTAATTTATTTCAGGGCTTGTTGTTTTCTTTAAAGGAAGATGGCACTGATAGAGATTTGTGAATTTAAAGTCAGAATTGTGTGATAATGAAATTTTTTTTACAAGGAATTATTTAACTGATAAATATTTTATGGGCTAATTGTACTTTGATGATTTTTCTATGGCACCTAAATTCATCCTTGTCTTTATTACAATGATGCACTTTATTATATTATTTGTATGCCAGTTGCAGCAGTCATTAAAAACATCTTTGTGTAGTTAAACTTTAACACTCAGTTTTTAATTAAAGTCTTGTTTGTGACATGAGAGACCTGACTGACATCAATGATACTTGGCCACCACTTATGTTAAGATTTAAAAAAAGGTTGTGATGAAAATTAATAACTGCAATACAGAGTTATTTTATATTTGAAAGAAATGTATTTTATAAAATCTTTCATTGCATTTTTCATGTAAGATAGATGCTCAGAGGATTGAAAAAGAAATTCTGCTAAGGAGTAAATAACAAGAAAGTTGGTTTTTTCCCATAAATTTGGTATCAAGGCTTTATTAACTTTATTAAATTATTGTAGGTTACCGGCAATGTGTAAAATTCAGGTATTGTATAGAATGCCAAGGAATGGTATAGAATGCCTGAAGTTTGTAGACAAAGTATGAAATGGTTTTTATTTCACATATTTCATAGGCATTCTATACAATGCCGAAGAGCGACTTAGCAATGTATAGAATACCCCGCCTTTTTTTTTTTAGGTGTGGCGATTGCGACCCACACGTGCTTCGTGCTCCTGCCAAAGACACCTGCCCCTATTGTGTCAAGACGGCTGCTGAGATGTTGGAAGATCAGATTGTAGTTTCAGATCAGAAATCACAGCATTTTTACATGCAAAAGCGATTCTATAATGAACTGGCTCATAGCTCAGTTGTTTCATTAAGGTGTTTGTGAATACTGACAAATCCTTTGTTCCAATAAGGTGTTTGTGAACATTGTCAACTCAAGTTGTTTCAATAAGGTGTTTGTGAACATTGACAACTCAAGTTGTTTCAATAAGGTTTTTGCCTCCAAATCAAATCTTTTGTTTGTCATACCTTCACAATGTGCAGAGGAAAATAAAAAAAAAATAAAAAAATTACTGTAACAAATTAATTTTATTAATCAAGGGAAAAAAATGAATTACAAGATATAATATCAGTTTTTTCTACCAGTATATTGCTCCTGCCTCAACAACAAACAAATTTTTGTGATAGACAGGAGAGCCACTTCTTTTATTATGATAATTTTTTTTTTCTAAACTGTTGACTAATATTTCTTATCGCCATCTCGGAGTCAGCTCAAAAAAACATCCAATTCAGTTGTGTCTCACAACCATCAAAAGACATACACACACTAGATGACTTGTAAACTAACTCATGTTTGAAAGATAACATGGTACCTCAGATCCAAGGTTGGCAAACTTTGTTATGGTCCATATATGTTTCATAGCCAAGAAGAAAATTCAAGTAATGCATGAATGAAAAACAAGAAGAGGCCACATTCTGCCCCAATGTAGCACATGTTTGAAGAATTAAAATTTGTAAAATCTATTTCAAGTTGGAGGAACTTCCAAAATGAACACAGAGGGCCCACATGCCGTAAGTTTGCCATACTCTTGCTTCATACAATCAAGAAATAAGCTAAGTGAGAAAATAAAGGTTCAAGGTAAATAGATAAAAGAAGAACTCAATAATTGAACAGACATCAGTGTCTTAGACCAATTAAACAAAAAGTTACTACAAACTAATACTTAAATACCAACAAAGAAGTGTATCGGATGAAATAATTACTTAAAATGGAAAAATGACCCGGTGGAATTGCACTTCATTTATCCAATCTAAAACAAAAGTAAAGACCTACAAGATGTAATGCTAGATTTCTCAAGCAGACAATGGAAGTTAGTTGCCTTCAAGTCAGCACAATTAAAACCTTACACTCTTTGTTTCAACTGGTTGATCTCTTGTAATACTTACACCAATCATTCAAACTTTCAAACAGAAATGTTTTGATACTTGCTAAAAACTAATTTATTGTGTAATCAGGTGCCTAAGTTTGTGTTATATAAAAAACCATATTGATGTTATCCATTATATTTATATAAATAACCAACATGTAAGGTCAACAGAAAATTAAAATTTGAAGATCATAATGATATAGGTCCTCGTTCAGTCTTATCGTTTGCTGTTTGGGTGTCCTGTGCCACGCATGGGCATCTTGAAGTTGGAGGCAGCCTGGTACTGCAGTTGATATGCCAAGGGGTGAATCTTGAACCCATACAGCCTAGGAAGAGGATACAGTTCATGCGTTATTCAGTATCAAGCACAGAGCAGGGTTGAGTTAAATGTTCATAAATATTAACATAGTCATGACAACTGGGATAGTAAAAAGGTTTAAAACTTTTTTAAACATTGTTAGTCTAGGATAAACCTAAACCTGTATTTAAAAGCAAATCCTTTTGGATTAAATGTCCGACCAAAAATTAATTAACGATTTTTACAAGAGATTCTTCATTATTCTCAGAATCAAATAAATCAACATTCCATGAGAATGCTCTTCACATACAATATAACTGAACCAAAGAAAGAAATCGATTTTAAAAAAGAAAAAAAGCTTATGTAATGTAAGTGATTATGGAATATGATGATGCAATTCTTCTCTCTTTTTTTTTGCATACCTTGGCACAAATTGATTAGCTGGTCTCTTAGGTCTGTACTCGGGATGTACCATGAAGAGCATGTGAGGGAACCCAGTGCCAAAGTATGCCCCATCCGTGTGATGGTGACGAGATGACTTTGGTGTGTAAGCATCCTGGCATTTCGGACAGTACAGCTTCACCATGGCTTCACCTGGGACATCTGACAGACCTGAAGAAATAATCAACCAATGACTTTGAGATTTTCCTTTCCCATCAGAATTGTACATAGCAAGGATGTCAAATGAAATTTAATACAAGATGTGACCATTTACTTAGATGTCCACATCTAATGTCTCAACAAGTAGCTCACTGAACTCAAATCTGCAGCTTTATGGGACAAATAAAACTTGAAATGAATGTAGCCTTTTCAAATTAATTCAACAGTAACGACTACTTAGTCTTTTCTTTAACCATATCTATTTCCAATTTATATTAAAAAAACATGTGTTGATGAATTCTTAAAATCTTGTAACACTTGTACAAACACTAGTTTAAAACTTTTATCTCCTTTAATTCTTAACACTCAACATGATTTATTTTTAAAAAAATGTATTGTCATTTATTGTCATTTAGTTGAAATCATGAAAATGAAAACATCAGAGCAAGAAATGACAATATTCCAATTTTAGACCTTTGGCAGTAACTTCAATTAGCCTCTGCTGAACAATTTATGAGAGTTTTATTTTATATCACACAAATTATTATAATAGTTTTTTGTATGAATGGAGGCATACATTTCAATATAGGGTTCATTTTGTATAAGGGGTTGTAAAATTATATTTAAAATAATGCATGACAAAATAAATAACAGGATACTAGTGAATTGTTTACACTTAAGAATGATATTATTAAAAATCCTACTTCCTGGTTTTGGTCACAACAACCCAGATATAATCAAGTGTCAACTCCTCGTTTTTACTAGATTGGTTAATCCATCAAGTTCTTTCTTACGTTGTAATCGGTGTACTAATATTGAATCAACTCGAGTTCTTTATAACAATAAATGTAACTTTAATACCTAACTATATACAGAGGCTGTAAATTCCATAAACACATGCATATAGTGCAGCTTGCTATCAGACAGAGGAAGAAAAACACATTCTACTTCCACAAAGTTCCTTTCACAACTGCCAGAAAATTAAAACGTACGTCACAAAACAGACTAGACTATACTTGATAATGAGCATAAAAATACATCACCAAGTCGAGCACTGGAAGAGCGTTCACCAACTAATAAAACCCACACCGTGCGTATTGAAAAAAAATATTCAGTCGCAACACTTATTACTGAACTCCCATACTCGACAATATCTATGATAAACAAAACCAGTAGTAGTAACAGATATCAGCTGATGGCTATAGCTATATAGTATTACATTAATTACTGGTAATCTGGGATAGACAGCAGCTACCATCTGATGACTATAAGATATTACATTATTTAATCTGGGATAGACTAATACTAGAAAAAATTTGATATTAACTTGATATTTTAGCAAACTTGTAATGAGGAATTGAAAATAACTAAACTTAATAAGAGTTTTAAATAGAAAGACATGAACAAAGCAGTAACTTTCTCTTGAATATCTATAAATGAACCAATACTAATATGTGTGGAATTCATAGTCAACCACTGAGTATTTAGGGTTATAAAAAAATCAGCCATGACAGCAGTTGTACTCACCAATAGGCAGCATGGGTTGGTTCTCACAGTACACCCTTGGACAGTAGCCAAAATCTCCCTGCTGCCATTTCTCTATCTGAGATTTGAAACGTATGAAATGATTTGTGTTCCTACACAATACAGCAGAGCATCAATTTTCTGAACACTGGTTATCCAGACAGCCCCCTGTCTTTGTATACTAATGTGTATATAACACATTGACATAAGACCGGAAAAAAAAAATTGACATCTGTTGAATAACCCTGATAAAACCTAGAAAACTATTGTACACGCAGTGACAAGAGTTGGATAAGGCGGTCTATTTATATTGCAGAATACACAGCTGCCAAGACAAAGTGAACTCTGATTTTACCCTAAGCACTCAGTATCTATTTCTGGAAAAGACCTCTTTACCCAGAAAAAATCCTGTTGTCAGTTTTTTTTTTGGTTTTTTGTACATGAATAACCCTAATAAGCTTAAAGATAACCTTTCTGTGGGAGTGTGCAGGTATCAGATAAAATCATTTTAAAAAACCCTGGTACCAATTAGTTTGGAAAACCGATGCCCTAATATATATAAATATTATAATGTCATATATATTATATATAGAGGTCTAAATAAAACAATGTCAATACTAAAAGAAAATATTCTAAATGCTATTTTTTAATATTAAATAACAATGGTAACAGCAAGACTTGCATTTATAAAATTTCATAATGAATGATAACTGGTAAAACATTGTATCTCAATGTAAATACCAAAAAGTTAAGGGCTATTGCTAATAAAACTGTGAGCTTAATTCTGGCATGAGATTAGCTAAGCTCCATAGTAATCCAATCTATAATATTAAGTTTATGACCTCAGCAATCGGGAAGGGAAATAATTTTAGAAAACAATAAATACTTTAAATCTTAATTCTTAAAACTAAGAGTTTTATTTGATGAAAAATATCAAAAGGTACAACTACAAATTTTCAAAAAACTAAAAAATCAGAACAATAGAAATCAAACCAAATGGTTGCATTTAGCATTGAATTTTACACACTTTAATGGCTGTTACTAGGCCAAAGAGTAACACAGATGTCTTTTCTTTTAACGAATTGATACCTAATATACTGCAATAGTCACAATTTTAAAACGTCATAGAAATAATTTCAATACAAATAGATATAGCCAGACCACAAGATTTCTTGCAATTATTATTTATTTAGCTACATTTCCCCTAACCCGCCTTACCATCTGAGCAATCCCTCTGTTGGTCATGATATAGCGAGCATGAATGAGCCCATACAACATTTCTGCAGCTTGCTCTATTAAATCACTTTGATTAGGGTTTTCTTCCAGCTCATCATCTAAATAACACAATGGCTCATTATAGCAAACTGTTTGTGACAGAAGTTTTGATTTTATCATGCACAAGAATCTTATTCAGATAATTTATTTTAAGACTGGAATTTACAAAATAATCATCTCTCAGCAATGATGCAGCCAATGGTTGGAAAAACAACAACTCAAATACAAAATAACAACAACAGCTGTATATTCTTCAAGATCTGAAAAGCCAAACATTAGATACAATATTGTTTATTAGATGGAATGCAATAAATCTTTATCTGTTCATTGGTATTTTAATGAAAAGTTCAAAACCAAATCAACATTGTAGCTAACTTGTCATGAGTTATTTAACACAAAAGTTTGAGGTGGAAAAAATACTTTGCATCTTTTTTGTTTAGAAAATTAACTCTTCATTCCTTAAATGAAATATGTATTTTTAAAAAATTCAAATTTGATATCTTTTCCTTCCATATTCTTTTTAATTTGAGTGACCCTTTTAGTATATTATTAAACACAAGTAAATTGCTGGACACTAAAATAAAAAAAATGAAGTGACATAACGCCAGCTTTGTTAACTTGGGTTAAAACTCAGTTTTTGTGTTTGGGCATCCCTTATCAACCCTCTCAACATTTGCAATAACACAAATTATGTAGAAATCTTTACTTTCTTCCCTATTTTTCTTTACCGTAGCTTAATCTGCTTTAATCTTAAAATTATTTTTTTTGGCATTCAGTAAAAACTTAAATGAAAAAACATGTCAGGCACATGGGGCTTTGTGATTTTTTTTTAAAATTATCTAGAATATTGTTCGATTGAAATTTATGCTGTAAGGTATCAAAATAACTCCTTAATTAGGTCAGACCCCTATGTATAGTATATTTACTCACAAACTATAACTTAAATAATAAGGGGAACAAAAAGAAAACCACAAATCAAAACGTGGCAATAATTTTTTTTTAAATGACCTGAACTCAAGAAGACACGAACAGAACGGTTGGAAAAAATAAATCTTGTAACAAGGTACTACCATCTTGACAAGTCCGTTGTTAGTTAGAATGAACCTCATGTGTATAAGACCATACACCATTTCGGCTGCCTGCTCTACCATGTCCCCTTCGACATTATCTTCATCCTCCTCTAAGGTAATATTGAAGACAACATTTTAACACTTTCGAAAAGTGATCAACCAATTAAAACCTATTCAGTGTTGCAATTAAATTTCTTTCATAAAAGAAATAAACACATCATTCTGGACAATAAGCAATGGAAAGATAATATCTTATTAACAGACATTTTAAAACGAAATGAAAACATTTCCTACCTGGTTCTAAATCCAAGATCATGTCCAGAGCTTGTCTATAGTGGGGTACTTGTTCATTCAGACCAGTTAGATTAAATTTATCTTGTATGTAATCTTCATCAACCTATTTAGCAGACATTACAACTTACAACACTGTTGTTTAAACTTTTAAAGCAAAACATTTAGTTTTAAAAATGATTTTAAAAATACAAATACAGCACTGGGGACTTTAAGATCCGTCTGCTATGGTGATTAAGTTCACACAGCTTTAATTTAGCTAACCACAATAGTTATTCATTATAAACACCCTTAACCTTATTCCATCAATCAGTAGAATGAGGCGGGGCTGGTGTCTAAAGCCGAACACTGATGACAAATTTATGTTTGAACTGAACATGAGTAATTGATTGTTTTCAATGGGTTTCAGTAGGACAACCCAGACAAGGGATAAAAGCTGTTCATTTAATCCAAAACAAATTTAATGCTAGTGCCTTGACATTATTTATGGTTTGGGCTTTAACAAACTAATATTCATAAATCAAGTTGGTGAGTTACTGATGCAGTCTAGCACTGTACTTCTTTGCCTTTATAAAAAAAAAAAAAATTATAAAAAAAAGAATACATATGTTACATCTATAATATTAATAGGTACCTCACAAAAAAACTCATTTCCCCTTAAGCCACAGAACCATGAGATCCACGAGACTTCCTCAGAGCTGCTCATTGTGATTGAAATCTGGGCAGTGTCACTTCACTGCAAAGAAATTTTTGTTAAAAAGGAAAATGTTAAAACAGATATAGAAATATTAATTGAGGTAATCCCATCTTTTAGTGCAATAAATTAAAAAAATCACAACTTACCTGAAAGAACTAAATTAAAACACTTCAATGGTTAATTGAGCAAGTATTTATTTTTCAAATTAGATTTTTCATGTATTTTGCTGGATTTAAGGGATCTTTAATATAAAAAAATGTACTAAAAAAACTGTCAATCTATAAGTTTATTGTCTATTCACTTTTTCCAAGTCTCAGGCAAAAAGCAATATTCATACAATAAGTAAAAAAAATATAAACACAAAAGTCACACGTGGAGGCCTTAGCTTACAGTTGGTCATACAATGTCAATGATGTATTAACTTTGTATATTAATTGACAATCTTTAGTCGATGGTTGTATTATAATGCCACCGAATATATGTGCCCTTCCCATCATCAATTAATCAGTAAATTTAAATCAAAGTATAACCTCACTGTAAGCTGACGCCTCTGAGTCTGACTTAATTGTCTATTTTTCACCTTACTTTTACTGTAGGAATATTGCTTTTGGCTTGAGACTGGCAAAAAGTTAAAAAAATCAGGTCACACTTGATTTGGATATACAATAAACAATCTTATCAATCAACTAATTTTTATTACACTTTTTATATTACATTAAAAATCCATTTAACTCTTTCGCTGCTGAATTTTTTAAATTAAAAAAATGTACATTATTTTTCGAAGAGCAAAATAGAGTGAGAGATTGGATTTATTAAAAAATATTATTTTTTGGTTTATAAGACTAAACTTGGTATCAAATGAAAGATAATTGAAAGGATTATATGTTTGTAAATTTATTTAATCAGTTTAAATAAAATAAGTTACAGAAAAGAACCATAAAATGTGAAATCATTATAAGATAAACCAATTTTTCCCAAATCCCATAATGTACGCATACCTCATCTTCACTTCTATAACTAAAATCCTCTAAAACTACTACTATCGGAATCATCCGATGGATCTAAATATAAATCACCTTCACTATCAAAAAAAATAGTATAAAACAATTCCAAAGCTTTTTGAGCTGTTAACTGTATAGGAAACTTACTCACCTAAAAGGGCCCAGAATAGCAATAGCAACAGTAAAAAAAAAATAGCTTAAAAATCATTAAAATAATGCTTCAAATGACAATGAATGAACATTGGTTTCGCTTATAAACAATGAAGTACCACTCTTCTATACAAAAGTCTTATTTAAAAATAGCTCTTAAAAAGTTTAACAGAGAAATAGCAAAGAAACAAACATGATATTGAAACAACGCACTGCGCGTTGGACCATGCTTTTGAGAACGGCGGATGTGCATTTTTCTCCAGTGTGCGTTGTTCCGCAGCGAAAGAGTTAAACTTTTAAACCAACGAAAATAATGTCAAACTAATTAGAAAACAATAAATTTATAATAAATCCATGTTGTAGCTGTGTTGTAACCATTGAGATGTTTTAGTTTCGTTCCATCAGGTAATATTAAGACTTTACTTTAATACAGTCAAAGTAATTGTGCTAAAATAAGGAACTTCACTTACGATGGTCAAAGCAACAAACAAACAAAAATGGGGGTTATTGTAAGAATATGAGCATCACACAGTAAGACAAATATTTTAATTTTACATGATAAACAATGAAAAAATTAATTTATCATGTACATTATGTATTGATGTATCATTAGATAACTGTGACGTAGAGATAGAAAGCAAAAATCCTAGTACCCCACAGAGCCGATTGTAAAATCGTCACAAATCAAAAATGTTTTTCCGTCACTTTTCAACTGCGCTAAACGATTTTCAAAAAACCTACTCTACCCTAAGCATAAACTGATAAACCGTAAGTAAAGAACTGACAGATTTACCAGTCTTTCATATTAATATTAACATAGAGACAGAGAGATAGCTTAGTTAAAACTCTAACTCAAGTATCAGCAGACTTTGAATAGAGATTTGAGCAGGAACCGGACCCCCCCCCCCCCCCCCAACCCTATTAAATGGAGCTGTGGCTGGGTGGGGAAAAAAGTATTGTTCATGGTAGTCTAGGCCGTAGGCCAAACGGATTCCGGATTGTTTTCGTCATTTAGTTTTATTAGTTAAGTCACTGATGATACTGATGACTGTCCACTGTCACTACTAATAACCTAAGCCTAAACTGTCAGTGTGAGTGTGACACTGTCACTGTCAGTTTCAGTACTAATATCAGCATCGGTACTGTTTGAACATCCAGATCATATTGATATCCAAAACGTGAAGAGGCGAGTAGGGCCTGGAGAAAATGTATTATTCTTAACACGACATATGATTCACCATTATTTTGGTCTAAAATTTTAAGGAGTCGCACGTTTTATATTACCTTAGACTTAGGGAAAATTCACAAGCCACTATAGAGAAAACCGGGTATTATAATAATGAATAATTCGCTCAAGTAGACACGAAGTTGTCTTCCTTCTTAGCATTGCAACTCTTCCAGGATTTGGTCTATTTGAACTCTAAAAATTATTCTAGAAATAGAGAGCCACATTTTATTTTTTAATATTGGAATAATAGAGGATTAATTATTTTTAAATATGGCTTAGAGTACCTTAAATATATTAGTTAATTCTTTATTTTTTCTTTGAAACTTAAATTTAATTATGAATAATACTTCAGATCTTCTCAATATATCTGCATATGGACAATTTGGCATCTTGTTGCAATAATTTTCTGCTCATGCGCTAAATATATAAAACTCAAAATTCTGGAAACAATATAATAAAAATTTCATGCCAAAAATTTTTTAATGAAATTAAGCATAAGGAAAAAATACATCAAGGAAATTTTATAACATTATAAAAAAAATAAAGCATTTTTTACAAGTATGTCATAAAATCAAAAGGAAACATTCTGTAAGGATTATTTTAACCACAAATTTAAATTAGGAAAGGAAATATCCGATGATATATTTTATCGTATATTTTTGTTTAAAAATAGATACGGAAGTCATTTAATGGTCGTTTAATCACAGAGTTTAAGAAGTACTCACAATGTCAACAAAGGAAATGCCCAAGACGTAGTTAAATGTTTCCATTTATGGACCTTAAAGCTATAATTGGAGTTATCCGTATCCTATTCACTATGTAGGCTGATATTTTAAAGTTTTATTCATGGTGCTAGAAATGAAAGTCAACCTTCATCAGTGGGAATTGTGTCAGGGTCAGTGCATGATTATGATTCATCGATTCAGTGACATTTTTTTAAATAATTCAAATTCATTGTCATTGTGATTGTGACTGAATATCTTTATACTAGGAAGTAGGGGTGGTAGACCGTGGAGTACCTAAATAATACTAATAACTAGGCCATAATTTAAGTAGGCCTAAAAATTAATATTATTTGTATGATTTTGTAAAACTTACTAAGTCTAAAACTTATAATGAATAATAATGACTTATATTATATTTATATGTATTAGTATTGTGTATACTGTATACTGATACTTATACTTATATAATATAAGAAGTATAAGTTATAAGTCCTAAGTCAAGATTGAATTAAATAAATTAATAGTAGCATTTTTATTCTAGAAAAACTCCAGCCAATAAAAACTGAACAGTAATATAATAATTATGCACTCTCTCTGCTTACATTTAGTATTTAGTCTATTAAATCATAATAAATGAGTACAATCCACTACATAGGCTAATAATTAATATATTAAAATAATGTAACTTATGAAGTCTAAATCAATATCTCACCACAGAATGTGGCAAACCACTGAGTTATACATTAGTCCCTTTCCTGCTTGAGTTGTGGGCCATTCATTCATAAATGATGTCAAGCTGTTTTGGCCTTTTTATAACTAGGGGTGTGCCGGATCCGTTTTTTCCAACCGGATCCGGATCCGGATTTTCTTATGCGAAATCCGCCGGATCCGGATTCCGGTTTCTCCCGGATTCCGGATTTTGGTACTATTGGTAGATACTTCGGTAAGTCAAGGTGGACTACTACTTTTTGTGTATGGGAATTCGCAATCGGCGCCAAAAAA